GCCAAGTGAAGTTTTGGGACATGGACAATATTAATCCTCTAACAAGCACTGATGCAGATGGTGGATTGCAGGTCAGCATTTAATGGTTAACTGTTTGAATTCTTCTGGAGTATAACCACACTCTACAAAACATCCCTTATCTGATTATATGAATCTATTCAGGGCCTTCCACGCTTGAAGTTCAATAAGGAAGGAAATATTCTCGCAGTCACTACTGTGGACAATGGATTCAAAATACTGGCAAATGCTACTGGTCTTAGATCCTTAAGAACAATTGAAACTCCTGCATTTGAAACATTGAGGTCACCTATTGAATCTTCTGCAATCAAGGTAGTAATATAGTTTAAACTTTTGAGTGGTTCCTTAAGTTTAAGATCAAAATATGTACCGTCCACATTGTTTATGCTTTGCAGGTGTCTGGCTCTTCTACTGTTAATGTTAATCCGGTCAACTGTAAAGTGGAAAGAAGCTCTCCTGTCAGGCCGCCTCCAATTCTTGTATGAACCTGACCCTGTAAATTACACCTATATTTTGATGTTAGCATGATGGCACTGATATATTCATTTTTTTTCACACAGCATACACACACATACTAGTATGTAGACTATTTTGGTCCTTTTATTCTTTCTTATATAGTTTGCTTTATTCTTTTATGCAATACCTTTGCATACTATAAAGGACCAACAATTTAATACACAATTTAATACTTCTGCTTTCCACTTTATGGGGAGCCTTCATATTATAAGCTTACTATTAGATACAAAAGGTGTACATGAATCTATTTTACTTTATAATCTGGTGTTTGTTTTCCGTTTTGGATCAACTTTGTTAGCTGTCATTTATCTCTTATAAGTTACTTATGAATTATTTACTGTATCATAATACTTATTTGAATCACATGGAATGATTTTTGCTTTTTCAATCAAGAATGGAGTTGATCCCATGAGTCGAAGTGTAGAGAAATCAAGAATTGTCGAAGATGCATCTGATAGAACTAAACCATGGCAATTGTCTGAAATTCTGGATCCTGTCCAATGTCGGTCAGTTACCTTGCCTGACAACACAGACTCTTTCAGCAAGGTCTGTATACTGCTGTGTTTATGTACCATTCTTCTATTGCAAACTTTGTATTTCTATGCTTTAATTTAATCTTCTGATTGGTATATAGGTTGTACGACTTTTATATACAAATTCTGCTGTTGGTGTTTTGGCCCTTGGTTCAAATGGCGTTCAGAAGCTTTGGAAATGGGCTCGCAATGAACAAAATCCTACTGGGAAGGTTGTCATAAGCAAATCAATTACTTTATGTATTTCCTGGTTCAATCCTTTTTTTTATTTATTTATACTTTTCGTTAGCCTTTTACCTTTCAATAGAGATCAAAAGTCTGAAGTTCATGTGATTACAGGCAACTGCCAGTGTTGTTCCACAACGTTGGCAACCCAACAATGGTCTTCTTATGACTAATGATATCGCGGGTGTCAACCTTGAAGAAGCAGTCCCTTGCATTGCACTCTCAAAAAATGACTCATATGTAATGTCTGCCTGTGGTGGAAAAGTTTCACTATTTAACATGATGACATTCAAGGTGTGTATCTGGATATATGGCCTGATATTCGATTAAGCAGCTAGTTTATTGGTTACTGATAGTCTACATTTTTTTTAGGTAATGACAACATTCATGTCCCCACCTCCTGCCTCTACCTTCCTAGCATTCCATCCCCAAGATAACAACATTATATCCATTGGGATGGAGGATTCAACCATTCATATCTATAATGTCAGAGTGGATGAGGTGATTACCCACTTTTGCTAATTTTTATTTTAATAATTACATTATTTTTTTAAAAAACTTATCTCGCAAGCACTTTTTTTGCTGCTTTTGGGGGGTATTTTCCAGGTGAAATCAAAATTGAAGGGTCACCAGAGACGAATCACTGGTTTAGCTTTTTCCACCAATCTTAACATACTGGTTTCATCTGGTGCTGATGCTCACGTAAGTCTTTAGCCATGCTCCTTTTTGACAAGATTCTGAGTGGCATGGGAAATCTTTTATATCAGTTTATTTCCTAATAATTTATTTTGGAGATCGTTTTGTTGGTTATCCTACTTCCCATCGTTTGTAATTATCCTTCTTTTGCTAGATATACTTTTCAATTTAAAGACTATATTGCTTGCAAATTCTGAACTATTAGATAATAAAAAAAAATTAAAAGGGTCGGCTTCAATGGAATTATTGTTATTCAAAATAATTTTCTCATTTTTTGGTTTTCTTTGACTCTACCTTTTTTCTTATTCAATTCTAAATGTCTATCCTATAAGAATTCCTATGATTAGCTGAGAAAAGGTCGAAGAGTTCTGAATGACGAGCGGATGTACTTACTCTTGAGTTGCTAGATTGTAGCACTTAAGTTTGAGGATTTTTATTTGGCTTTATAATTTTCTTTTCTGTGGTGCTTAAGTTGAAGTATCTTCCTTTTACAAATACTTGTGCCTCTGCCACTTTTATCAATTGCATTGTTTTCCCATTAGGAAATGTGTCCTTTTGCTTTGCTCAATATTTTTGCCTTTTATTTTTGTTTTAAGAATTTCTACATGTTGTACAGCTGTGTCTATGGAGCATTGATACATGGGAGAAAAGAAAATCAGTCCCAATTCAACTACCTGCGGGAAAGCCACCTGTTGGTGATACACGTGTTCAGTTCCATTCTGACCAACTTCGCTTATTGGTAGTCCATGAGACTCAATTGGCAATATATGATGCCTCCAAGATGGAACGCATTCGTCAGGTAATATTTTTCTCTCCATATTCATAGAGAACTGCTGGTTGAAAAAATTAGAACTGAGATATGCTCATAAGCTCTTTTGCTGCAGTGGATTCCCCAAGATGTTCTGCCTGCTCCCATATCATATGCGGCGTATTCCTGCAACAGTCAGTTAATATTTGCTTCATTCTGTGATGCAAACATTGGGGTTTTTGATGCGGAGAGCTTGAAACTAAGATGTCGTATTGCTCCATCAATATGCTTGTCATCAGCCGCATTAAATAGGTAAGTTTCAGCTTAGTGGATTGCACCCTTCAATGTTTTGTAATAAATGTTTAATATTTAGTTCAAGGTGAGTGGTGATTTGTTATTTGTAACTAGTAAAGATCCTGTGCTCTTCTTGCATGGATTTGGAAGAAAAATAAAACAGAAAACAATCGCGTGAAAGTTTGTTAGTGTATCATGGTGAAACCTCTCTTAAGATAGATAGACAGCAATTTTTATGTTTATGAGTTTCAAGCTTAACACTTGCCGGTTGTGTATTGCAGAAGCCAAGCTGTGTATCCTCTTGTGATTGCGGCTCATCCACTTCAACCTAACCAGTTTGCTGTTGGGTTGAGTGATGGGTCTGTCAAAGTGATAGAACCAAGTGAATCAGAGGGTAAGTGGGGATCTTCTCCTCCTATGGACAACGGAGTCTTGAATGGTAAGGCACCATCCTCGTCTGCAACTAGCAACCACACTGCTGATCAGGCCCAACGATGAGATTCATGGTATTAATTATGTAGCATAGTTCTTTCCATTTGTAGTTTTATCAGCCTAGGTTTTTAGGTTTTGATTCACCAAATTGTCACTCATACATATCTGGTCATTGGACCTATACCTTCCTGTATACCTTAATTTATTTTAGTTAACCCAAATTATGTTTATATTTCCTTGTAACCTTATGAGTTCTTGCAGACAAAATGGCGTGTGCCAACCACTCTCTCATTATGGTATGTATAAAATCTGTTGACAATTTGTCACTAATGAATTGGAATTTAGATGTCAATATTTGTATATTGTTAGTGATCATGGTATTGGTGGTAAGTATCCATTTGTATGTGACTCTGTAATTGTTTGAATATCTTTATTGGGATCTCCCCTTTCAATCTCTTTTAAAAAAAAAAACGTAGTAAGAAGTAATTTATTGTTAAGTTCGGATAACTTAAAGGAAAAAAACTTCCGTAGATTTCTTAGTTGGGTCTCCTTCCTCCGAGAAATTAACATTCCACCCCTCTCTTATACATGACACCCCTCAAATAGTATGAAAAGACTAAACTACTCTGACCTAAATATTTTTCACAAATTTCAAATTTGTGACCAATCCGAATTTTTCAAAACTCTGGCGATACCGGAAATTTCAAGGCTACACTGGAAATTTTGTGAGATAGTAAGTAATTTTCAGTATATTTGCAAAATATCCGGTATTTTGCACCAAAAATTTCAAAAATTCCGGTATTTTCGTGTCTGAAATTTTGAAATTTCTGGTGTAACCATTTTCCTTTTGTACTGTAAATTTCAAAATTTTTGGGATTTTAAATGATTCTAGGAATTTTGAAATTTTCGGTAGTTCATATTTTCTTAATTTTTTATTTTTATTTTGCAGTGAGAATCAGGGGCAAAGACGGTACCGTTGAGCGTAGGAAGAGTGATAAAACGGAAGTTCACTCCTAGGTTGATGAGGCACAGGCTTCCGAGCTACAGGTTGGCCGACGTCCTCCGACCAGTTCTAATTGAAAACAGAGGGTAGAGCATCATGACTCAGTTCTGCGCACTCTGTCGTTGGGGATTGAGAGTTTTCACTGTTGAGGAGCCAGCTCCTGTTCCTGTTGACAGATGATGCAGAAGTACATGTTTCTGTTGTGGAGTCGGTTGTTGCAGAGGTTATTGAGGAGGTTCACACTTCTGTTCCTGTTGTGGAGCAGGAGGTTGTGGCTGAGCGCGTTGACGAAGTGTCCTCCATTGATACGGACACCACGACTCGTGCGTTTACGAATCTATCAATATACACATATGAAGCGTTTTCTAGAGGACCTTCATACAGGTCTGCATTGACAAGATTTGGTGACCATGTCGCCTACATGATATGACAAGGCATGGTATATAATTTGTTTTCTTTAATTGTATAATTTTTATTTTTGCTTATAAGATTTGATGTATAATATTTTGTTTTTGCTTCTTGCATGAGCGTCCAGTGCTGAAGATCACTTCTCATGGTTCGAAGTCGAAGAACTTTCATGAGAGTCCGATGCCTGAGGAGGTCAAGACTATCGTTAGAGATTTTCATCTTTTGGAGTTTGTTGAGTGCTCCCTGACCATGTTGAACGCCTTTCTGTTATCTGCTTTTGTTGAGAGGTGGCACCCAGAGATATCATCTTTTCATCTTTCATTTGGAGAGATGACTATCACATTATATGATATCGACCAGTTGTTTCACATCCTGGTTGCTGGTACATTATTCACACCAGTATACATTAACCAGGTGACAACGATGTGCATGGTTGTGGATGGTTTGGAGGTGTCTGAAGCGGACGTGCTACAGGAGTTTGGTGAGATTCGGGGATTTCATCTTCAGATGTCTTGGCTGAGGAAGTTGTATGCCAGTCTTGTGGAGGTATGTAGGTTTTGGGCTGCCGCTAGAGCGTACATACTACATCTGGTGACATGTACTCTCTTTGCGGACAAGTATGAAATTTACATTGATATTCGATATCTGTGTATGTTTAACACTTGACACTCCATATTGGGCTTGGGGGTGGCAGCCTTGACCATGTTGTACACGACACTTGACGTTGCTTCTCATCCTGAGACCAGGCAACTTGCTGGTTACCTTAGCCTGTTACAGGTATTTTATTTGGTGATTTTTATTAGTTATTTGGGTGTATTTATTTGATAGTTTCTATTTATGCAGTGTTAGATATATGAGCACTTCCCTCACATTTGTGAGCGGAAGATCCAACGTGTACCAACTACTGTTCCATGTGCGAGGAGATGGAATGGCAAGCAAATCCATACAGGAGGTTTGATGGAGTACGCGAGAAGGCTAGATGCACTGACATTAGAGGATATTATCTGGACACCATATATATTTCATCGCACTCATCCTCCATTTGAGGTGTCTACTTTGTATTTAGGACATATTAGATGGGAGAACCATGTGGCTACGCCAATATGGTTATGTGCAGGACATCCCTCCTCCAATTCCAGATGCTCCAACAGATGGCATTGATAGATGATTTCAGAGTCAACATCCTCAGCTCCCCCGTGAAATTTTGGATACACCCGTTGAGGTTCAGCGTCTTTGGAAATGCGATGATGGATACTTGGAGTGGTTTCACAATATGTCACACCCTCGGGTCATGTCACCGACTGTAACATCTAATGTTCCAAGGCCTTCACGTGTCAAGGTTTTTGTCGAGTCTTCACCACCACCTCCACCTCCCGCAGGTGACCAGGACAACCGTCTACAGTTTATTGTATTTCATTTAGATAATCTCATGGGTTTGGTAAACTTTGATGGTGAGATCTACACCGATTTAGCTAGGTTAGCTGACGTAGCTCATGAAAGATCTATGTAGATCTATTTTGTGACACACGAATATCTTATTTATTGCATAATCTTTTGACGATTACATGTTTCAATTTGATGATAAATACAACATAACACAGTGCAACAAACATAACCTTAAAACAACTAAACATGAAAGCATAGGCATTACCGAATGACTCTGGACATTTTAGCATCTTTATTATATCATCGATGGATTTTTGGATCTCCGCATCCAACTCGATCAAATTTTTAGTTATTCTACGGCGAAATGATTTCCACACGACTTTCACATTTACGTCATTCTTCAACTCGATTATGTTGTATTTCACCCTTTTATTTGTATCAATCCAATCCTTCTGAAACCCGACCTTTGTCACCTTTATGTTATCGGAATCAGGCAACAACTCATTCAACATTTCTTTTATGGTGGCAACGGATTCAGATCTGTAATTTTGAATTCAACAGCAGGGTTGCATCCGTTGTAATACACTTCTGCATTAATCAGATACTCGGGAAGAAGCATTTTTTGATATGTCTTATCCTATAATTTGAAACTCCTATTTATACAAATGGTGATGTATTCTAGACCACACAAATGTGTCAGTGCAATCAGAATCATCCCCGACCATTGAAAAAATTGAAATACATAACCTATCGGAAATTTCAGTATAACAAATTTCTGATACTGTCACGTAAATTTGAAATTTCTGATTTACCTAAAATTTCAAATGCACTATCGAAAATTTCAATCCCTTCTATCGGAAATTTCGTCTAAAAATTGTTTGTATCTTATCAAGGGATAATCTGGAATAAAAAATAAGGGGGGGGGCATGTTTAATTTAGGGGGTGACATGTTAATTTCTTCCTTCCTCCTCTTCAAAACATGAAATTTTCATTTGGAAATTTTTTAGGACACCTTATGTACTTGAAAAGCATCGTAAGAAAATTCAAAATTGCCCCTTAGACTCTGGAGATGTATACCTGAACGCACATTTATTTGCTAAATGTTAAAAATGGGTACTGTTGTACCCCAAAATTTGCCCTCCCATTTCCTCAACATTTTCTCACAAGATCCTTGAAGATCAAGACCCAGTTAGGGTTTCCTCTGCTCAAGACTTCTCCTTGCACTGTTGACCCAAATTAGGGTTTGTGTTTGCACAAAGATATTTTGACCTAAAATGCCTAAGATGACTTTCATGCTTCATGTTGGACTCTCAAGTTTATCCATACCAAGTTTCAAGTCTTGATTCCAAATTTTGCCCAGTCAATTGGACAGTTGACCTAGAAATCAACTGTATTGGGGAAAAAGTCAACTGTGGCCAATTGACAGTCAAATCTCATGAAAATTGACCCACGTCAACATTATAAACTCATATGGACCATTTGATCAAGTTTGGATCACAATTTCACAAGAAATTTGATCAGATCATCAAAAGGGCAAAATGGTCATTTTTAGGGTTTTGACTGCACAAAGGCAATTTTTGACTGTTTGACCTAGCCAATGGCAAATCAAGCTCACATATGGACTCAAGGACCCCATGGAATTATCTTTACATGCTCAACAAGTTCAAAAGATCCCAAATGCACAAGATTGATAGTTGAATTTTCCAGTCAATTGATCAATTTTGACTGTATACTGAAAAGTCAAACTTTGACTTTTTGGTCAAAATCAAGGGTCAAGATTCATTTTTCATTAAAACATGCCAAATCATGAAACTTGTTCACCAAGAAATCAAAAATTGCAAATTAGGGTTTGAAATGAGAATTTTTCATAACTTGGAATTTTTCTAAGTTATGAAAAACCCTAATTTTTCCTCAACTTTGTCCCACTTTCTCACCAAGATTAATTTGGATTCAAGCAAAAGTCAAAACATGAAAGTTGTATCTTATTGCATAATCTACAACTTTGATTCACAAAGTTTTCCCAAAAGAAGCTTGTATCTCAAGTTACAATTTTTGGAACAAGGGTACCAAACCATTCTTGACTTAGTGAAATTTTGACCTTTTTAGGCAAGGTTTTTACCTAACTTCAAGATCATTTTTCACATACTTCCACTTGGAATTTCAATTTACACTTCAAAGATGGATTGTAGTACACATTCCAAGCTTTCCAAAATGTCCAAGAACTCATCAAACAACCTCATGACTTGAGAGAATCGAATTTTGCAATATGGCAAAAAGTCACTTTTGTTCTTGACCAAGACATGTTCATACACATTGCCATTTTCAAGTCAGCTTGGTTTATGCTACATTACAGGTCTCTAAACCATCCAACACTCAATAATTTAATGCATACTCATTGTGCCAAAGCCTTATTTATTGTATCCAAGCATTGTATGCAAGATTAGGCCATAAATGGAAAAAGTGAAATAGCCATTTTTGCAAAAGCAAGCTTTATGTCATAATGCAAATCCAAGAAGTACAGATCAAATCCCCTTGGCACAAGTTTAGGGACTAATCACGCTGATCAATGCCAAGGTTTGCAGCATGTTTAGGGGTCCTCTACCTGTCTAGAACAAAACTTGACCATTGCTTGCTTAAAGTTCAAGAAACACATCATAACATGTACCAACTTTCATCTCAGCACAAGCAAGCCTAAGCAAAGTTATCAAACATATCCTAAACATAAAACACAAGCTAGAACACGAGTCAACCATCCCCAACACCCTCTCATTTCCAGAATCACCTTCAAACTGCCCAAACAGAGTAACCTCTGCAGATTGAGTTCCAACTCTCACCCCTTTCATGTTTTCTTGCTAAAAGCTCATCAAACACATTCCCTAGCATCACTTGAAGCTAATCCAAACATAAAACACGACCCGTAACTCCTCTAACCAGTTCCACCATTTTCATTTTCTTGTTTTGCAGTTGAAGTTCCATAGCACGATTCAAAAGGTTTCAAGACAAAGTAAAGCTTGGAATAGCATCCCTGGACCTCAAGGAAGCTATACCAATCATCACCTTGCACTGAAAGCTTCTCCATTGCCAGATACAACTTCAACTGAACAGGTAAGTTCATGAACTCGTATCTCTCTTATTAGGCATTGTTAGCTTTAGGTTTGTGAAGAGAATATGTCACATTCATAGCCCTGAACATGCCCATGTAATTAGATTTCATTTATATTATGTGTGCTGCAAGAATTTAAGGTCTAAACATTGATGAAAAACTAGGTCAGGAATTGGGGGAGAAGAAATTCTCCCTCATCTTAGAGAGTTAAGTCATGTTCTTTATATGGTTGGATTCGTCTTCTCATGCTCTACATTTTTCATGTTGTGAGTTTTGCTTGAAAGTCCAGGAATTGGGAGATAGGAAACGCGTGTTTTCTTGAACAAAGTTTGTTGTGAGGTTGAAGATGACTGGTTCTGGGCTGGGCCTGGATTGTTTTTCTTATTTGCACCATATATTTACTTCTGAACCCCCTAAGCCCATTTTGTTCATTTTTATGATTTTTTGACTTTTCTTTTTTTGGTTTGACTTATTTATTTTTCCTCATAATATAAAAAATATAAAAATAATTTTTTACACCATTTTTGAATTTATTAGGTATTTGTTTGTTTAGATTAGTTTTTTATGCATAAATAAATAAACAGATACATTTTATTAAAGAATACTAAAAAATATGCAAAAACATTTTTATTTTCATTTTTATTTTGTTTTACTTCTGAAAATATTTTATATAAAAAATACTTTTTTCTATAAATATTAAATATTATTATTTTTGTATATATAATACATATTTAGAATATTTTATAAAAAAATACTTTTTTCTATAAATATTTTGTATCTTGAAATTAGGTCAAACTATTTTTGTTATTTTTGATTCGCATACAAACCCTAATTCTAACATGGCATAATTAGAAAGCAATAAAGTGCGAAAAATAAATTTACTAAACTATTACAACACAATATATGGGAATGGGGGTACAAATGTTCAAATGAGGATTTTTGACAAGGAATTTAAACCTAACTATTACATCAATATTTGAATTATTTACAAGATGATTTAATTGCATAAATAAAATAAGAACAAGTATACAAGATGCAAAAATGGTTTTTTGTATGTATGGAAAAAGTATTTTTACATGTCAAAATAAACAAAAATAAAAGTATTATTTTTTTGGAGTTTTTTCATGTTTAGGGCAAAACCCTAATTTTCTTAAATAAAATGTATTATTCATTTATT